CCTGTAGAACCAGAACCTTCCTCCTCCTGGTTCTGATCCTCCACCACTGACCCAGCTGTGACCAACAGGAAACATTCAGAGAGTTTCAGGTGAGCTGCAGCCAGTGTTTCCTCAGAGAGACTGAAGGAGAATCCGTCCTACTGGATCAATGAATAGATGCAGCACGGATCAGAACCAGAGACCAGAGGAGCCAGTTGGTGGAGATACATTCATCTGATGGTGGAACATCTTTCTACATCTGATGGTGGAACATCTTTCTACGGCTGATGAGCAGAGAGGAAACATCTGGAGACATGGAGATAGTTCAACATCTGCAGGACCAGGAGACATGAGCTCCAGGGTTTAGCATCTGGAGACATGATGTCTCCTGGTTTTTACATTTTTGTAGAATAAATAATCAAAGAAACATTTCTTCTCTGGTCTCCATGGCTCTGAGTCCTGCTGACTGAAGACGTCTCTGAGTTCTGTCTCCTCCTTCATGTGGTTCTGGTTCCTCAGAGCTGCAGGACTTTACGATGCAGAGAAACATGGACCAGTGAAGAACCAGGATCTACGTCGAATATCACAGAATCAAACTGCAGCTGATGTCTCCATTTACTGTCCATCATGTCTCAACTATGCTCTCAGTGTTTCCTAGTCTCCACACCTGGACGTCCTGAAGCTCTACTCAGGACCAGGCCAACTCCCACCTGCCCCACCTGCCCCAGCACTCACCATGATGATGGAGTTGGTCACGGTGGGGTTGTGGACGGACCATGCGGCCATCAAACAGGCCATGTCCGGCAGACAGCAGCTCTGAGAGGCTCCGACTCACATCTGAGAACAGCCTGCAGCAGCCCAAGGGATCAGCAGCGGCCACGCCCCCAGACTCCAGACCACGCCCACTCGAGGTCTGGCCCCGCCCCCGTGCAGCAGGACAAACACAAACATGCTGAACTGTGTGGAGCAATAAACCAGTGAAATGCTTTAATTTCACATTTAATCGAATTCATTCCACTTTGTTTGGTTTGTATGAGTCTTAAAAGTTATTTCTAACTAATTTTTTTTTTTTGGTCTTCAGTGACAGAACACAGCAGCAGCGGTTCAGGCCCGGTTGGGCTCATCGTTCATTACAGCTGCTAATGAACAGCTGCTAATGAACAGCTGCTAATGACCAGCTGCTAATGAACAGCTGCTAATGAACAGCTGCTAATGAACAGCTGCTAATGAACAGCTGCTAATGAGCAGCTGCTAATGAACAGCTGCTAATGAACAGCTCAGGTCAGTGGAGCTGCGTTCACACGTCTGCTTTGGACATTTATTTCATACTTTAGGGACGTTTTTTCATGTTTTTGGGAATGTATTTTATTTGATGAACATCTTTTTGGACAGTTGCTGAATGTTTTATGACTATTTGAACACTTTTTGTTTCTTCTTCACACTTTTGGAAAATTTTATCAACATCTTTATCTTGAAATGTAAGAAAACTTTTGGTTAAATCGATTTATTATTTAAAAGAATCCATTCCCTCATCAGACATTTTGTGAGTTTTTGAGGGGCTTTTCTGAATGTTTTAACATTAGTGTGTGACAGCAGCATCATTTACATCCTCGTTCACGCGTCAGTTCAACGTTTTTCAGTATTTCTTGTGACATGCAGGCAGCAGAGTTCATATCTGGTCAAACGGCCGTCCTCTCCTCAGCGAGGCTCTTCTGCTTTATTTTATATTTTATATTAAAAGAGGACATTTTTAGAAAACCTTTGCTTAAAATGACAAATAATATCTAATAAAATCACAAAAAAAGTGTTTAAAACTGTCAACACTCGTTTATTTTACTGTGTGCAGCCATAAACCAGTTTGACTGAAGTATCGTTCTGACTCCGTCCTGCTTTCCGATCACACGCTGCGTTCTGTGTTGGGGTGTCTTCAACAAGACAAAAGCTTCCTTCAGGATGAACAATCTGATTTTAATCAGTTTCCTTCATATAAAGGTTCATAAGAACAATCTGCAGCATCATCGTCTTCACACATGGAAGATGTGGGTCGTGTTCTGATAAAAGACCCGATGGACCAGCACCAGAGTTTAACCCTGAAAACAGCCTGTCGGGCCTCAGACGCTCAGCAGGAAGCAGATTATCAGGACGTTAGCTGGCTGCTGGTCAACATGCTGAAGGAAGTCCAGACATGGTTCAGTTCTACGTCGTTAGCAAACCAGGTTCACTGAATAATCACAGAAACTAACATAAATAAGATAAACTAACATAACATAAATCATATGTGTGTGTGTGTGTGTGTGTGTGTGTGTGTGTTCACGGCTGTATAATGTGATTGGAGGATCCCAGGTGATTCAGCCTCTTTGGCAATTTCTGTATTTGAGCCTCAGTTATGATCCTCCCAGATGACAGATGCTGTCCAATGCAGCAAGTAATCCCATTACACTCACACTCACACACACACACTCACACACACTAAATAAATACATTTTAAAGAATAATAGAAAAAGACATTTTAAAGAGAGCCTTTTCCAGGCGACCTGACGACTAAACTGAACGTTTTGTTGTTTTCTGTGTCTCTCATTCAGACAGAAGCTCCACCAGAGCAGCTCAGCGACGTTCAAGCAACACTTTAGTAACGTAACGGTCACTCCTAAGCTAACCACAGCTCCTCTGACTGTCTGTGGTACCGACAGCCACGAGGCCCAGAACTAAAGGAGGACGTTATAGTTTGATGGTGAACCAGAGCAGCCCTCAGAGCTCAGACCTCCTCCGGGCAGCTCGTCTCCACCACACTGTGGCTTCATTGAGCTACACTATCAGAATGATGTCGGAGCAGAACACAGCTTTAGCATCTGAAGTACAAACGGACGATGAACACGTAGTCATGGGAGCAGTAGATGTGTCTCCAGCATGCAGCAGGACAGCGAGAATCGATCTGACATGGAGCTACCATGAGCTCAGTGGTGATGGACACACAATGCTTTCTAACCACGTGATCTGACTTTAGGATGAAGAAATGAGACGTTCATGTGCATTCATGTGATTTATTTGCGACCAGCCAGCAGGCGCCTACAGCTGTGGTGTATCCTGGACATCCTCAGTCCGTACAGCAGCGGGTTAAAGAGCGGCTGGCAGCTCAGGAAGTACAGCGACAAGAAGATCCGCAGCCCGCTGGGAGCTCTGCTCATGTTGAACCGACTCTGGAGCACTTCAAAGACACAGCCGAAGGAGAAGTTGATGAGAGAGGCCAGGTGAGGCGTGCAGGTGCTCAGCGCCTTGGCTCTGCTCTGCTTACAGCCGCTCAGACACACCTGCAGGATCCTCAGGTAGCTGAAGAGGATCAGCGCCAGAGTGACCGACACCGACAGACAGGAGATCATGATGCCGAGGAAGTTGCTGACGGAGGAGTTGGAGCAGGACAGCTTCACCACCGAGTGGTAGCCACAGTACACTTTGTTAATGAGGTTCCCACAGAGCGGCAGAGGAGCACTCAGACTAATCAGACTAACACTGATGAGACAGCTGGACGACCAGCACACGGCGATGAGAGCAGCAGCTCTCTGAGGCGTCACCCGGGTGCTGTACTGCAGAGGGTGACAGATGGCCACGTAGCGGTCATAGGACATGACCGTCAGGTTAAAAAACTCCACACCTGCATACATGTAGACACAGAAGATCTGCAGGAAGCAGAGAGAAGCAGGAACAGAGTGAACATCAGAGAGGATCTGGACCAGCAGCAGTGGAAACAAGCCTGTACTACCATACAGCTCATTGACAAACAGGCTGCACAGGAACATGTACATGGGCTCATGGAGGCTCCTGTTCACACAGATCACCACGATGAGGAACACGTTGGCGCCCACAATGAACACATAGACACACAGAACAAAGACGAAACAGACGTATCTGAGCTGCCCGATGTCACCGTAGGCAGCCAGCGTGAAATAAGGAACGTGTGTGACGTTCATCTTCATCCTGACCTCAAGCCGTAAAACAACCATAACGTTCAGGGACAAGCGTCATGTTTCCAGCAGAGGAGCTCAGATGAAGCAGCAGCGTGATTCAGCATCAGACGGAATCACAGAGAGGACGTGAAGCTGCTGCTCTTAAGCAGTCACACGCAGTAATCACATTACTTCTACTCACAGCAGCAAAGTACTGACTCTGGTATCAGATCAGTGAAGCTACAACCATCAGATCATGCTTCTGTGTGACTGCACATGTCAGTGGACGTCTGAGTGCAGCTGAGAGGTCACTGGGACTCGCTGCTGCTGGATCTGAGGAGCTTCATTCTGCTGCGTCCAGACGCTCCACAGACGCTCCACAGACCTCTGACGCTCCACAGACCTCTGACGCTCCACAGACCTCCCACCACCAGTCCTTCACAGCTCCTCAGTGTTCATTAATACTTCTGCTCAGTGAACCTGACCTGCAGCTGGAGGTCGACGTCCTCAGGTGTCCTCCGATCAGACCGTCTCCGATGAGTCCCCCTGAGACCAATCAGCCAGAGCAGTCCTCACACTGGTCTGACTGGTCTGACTGGTCTGACTGGTCCACAGAGGACAGTAATGACGTCTCCTCGGACCCGCTCAGAACAACACCCTGCTAATGAAGCAGCTCCGGACTGAGAACACAGTTTCACATCAAACTAGAGCAACAGCAGACACTGAACGTATCAAACGAGGTGAAGACAGCGAGGTCCGTGTTCAGGAGTTCTCAGATACGCAGTAAATCTGACCGTTTGTGTTGGATGCAGAGCGCCACCAGGTGGTTGTGCTGCTCCACAGTGGTGACGGTCAAATCATGTCCTGAACTGTCTAACTGCATGTTTCACAAACTGGCTCTAAGCAGGAGAACCTCCTCATGGTCCTGTTTGGTCACAACGATGAGCATTTTCCATAAAACTGGACAAATAAAATCATCCAGTCATGATGCAGTGACTTCCTGGGGTTGACCACCAGGGGGCGTGTCCTGCAGACTCAGCTGTGTGGACACCAGGCCCAACGCTGCAGCTTTAGCTTCTGTCGTTGCAGAGATTCTGGACCAGCAGAACCTCGGGTCTGGGCAGGAAACAGAGAGATGGACGTCTGCTGTGTCTACATGGTGAAGTTCCTCCGCTGGTGGACACCTGTTGTCCTCTCTGAGTTTCGTCTGGACATACAGACCTCCAGAATGGTCTGCTGCTCCTCAGCATCATTCTGCCACAGGAGGAGCAACATCTGGACTCCTCAGGTGGACCTGGAGGTGGGCAGGGCCTGCAGAAGAAGACAGGTTGTGCTGGGGCTTGTTTGGTTTGATCAGCAGAGACCAGAATGAGTCCCACTTCAGAGGAAACGTCAGCAGGTCAACACCTGCTGGGGTTCAGTGTCTAGCCCTGGTCCACCGTTACTCCAGCTCATCACAGAATCCGTGGTTCTGTCACTGATCACGGTCGGCTGGTGAAACGGGTTCTATCAGGTGCACAGGTCATCTAAGTTAGAATGGCAATACCAAAGCTGTCTGACCTTGACATATCACCCAAGGTCAGTGTTCCATGACCAAGAGAAAGCCCCACCAGGTGGTTTCTCTGCCTTCAGGCCTGTGTGAACCTGCAGCAGGTCTTCAGGTTCAGAGCATCGTCGCATCTGTCTGACCTTCAGCTCCACCTCAGCGTGGCCTCGTTTCTCTGGATGGGCGTCCAGCTGGAGCGCCGTCTGGGTGGAGGCCGCCTCCTCTACGTGCTGTCAGCGTTCTCTGTCCTGACCGGACTGGTCCATGTGCTGCTGCAGGCGCTGATCCAGAACCTCAGCCTGGAGTCTGTAGCTGGACTCACTGATCTGTCCGACCAGCAGCGAGTTGCTGTCAGCTTCTCAGGTACAGGCTGAGATAAACAGGGATTTAACAACC